CGTAAAAGTGTAATGTTGGCAGGATATCTGGTAGCAAATTAAAAACAAAAGGTAGATAAATAAGAACCAATGCCCTATCACCTTTCAATAGACTAGCAGGAAAATCAACAGCTGCCAGTGCCATACAAAATTCACATTTGCTCAACTGAGGCAAAGAAGATAATATGAGTCAATCGTTGAAGATGAAAATATTGGGTAAAGTGGAAGACAGAACAAGAGAAGGGGAACCATCATAACATATAGGCAAAAACATGAATATTATAAAAGCTCAATGCTTCCCATGAGCATCAAATTGATTTCAAAAAGAAAACATTACCTACGGTAATTTTATTGAAAAGATAATACAACGTTTGTCAAAATATACGTGTCCATATCACAAAGTTCGCAGCGCAATTAACAATTTTATCAACCTAATGATTCCTCCTGAGACAGTAAGGAATAAGCAGTAGTACCATTTTCTAAAAGTAGACAGGTGATACAAATTCTATATAAATATTTCTTACCATACCTTGCTTTAAGGAGCAATAAAATTGTGAAAACTTCGAGACTATTGTATCCACGATCAACAAAATCTCCCTGCCCAATTATGAGAGATGGGTGAACTAGAATCCTGGAATAAATTTTTTAACAAGATAATCCGTAAACGTCCATCTATGGACTAGGAATAAACTATATGAATTTTACCATAAAGATGTAATTTGTCTCTGGCACATGACCACCAGTGTGGAAAAGTTTCATTAGATCATGAAATTGGCCGTGTATATCCCCACAAACAGTAACTGGACTATTAACAGGTTGCACATTTGACTCCTCAATTAGGATCTCCTTAACCTGTGAAAAAGTGTCACATGTTTTAGACACAAATGAAATACAATGCATGCTCCCAAGTGAAATTAGATGTGATGCTGAATTGCAAGGCTGTAAACATTATTGAACAAATGAAAAAAGAACTTTCTGCCTACTACAACCCATAACCCCAATAACTATTGTTAATGTGATTGGTGTGCAGGAAGAAGATACCAAACTAATGCACTATCAGTATCATGTGCCACATGCAAACAAACACTTTTCTCTGAATGATGTCTATAGAAGAAGCAATTTAGACCTCCACTTATTTGCGTAATGCGTCATACTTCAGGTAGTCATTCTTTTTATTCCCGACTCTCAATCATGCATGTCAAAAGAAGACAAGCTCTTGTTATGCTGGATTGATTAGTACCACAGGAAGTCAAATGATACATGAAACAATCATGGAATTATATGAGAAGGAACTTACCTCACAAATATAACCACCTAATCAAAATAAATAAGACAAAAACTATAACTCAGGAACTCTAATATACATCCACCCAACAAATATAAGCAAATGACTCCCCTATATTTCCATTTCCTCCCATCTCAAAAGCATTCTATTGATCTGTAAACCTTCACAACAGGCTTTGTCTTGGCAAGGCCAGGGAATAAACCCAATAGTCATATAGTTGAATTGTATGTATTAAGCATGACCAAAAATTGTCACATTATCTAACTTTGTAGGCTAATGGATGACATGGAAGCATGAATAAAGGCTTGAGTCTTTACTAATAGCTTCAATAATCAAAGATCTCAGGTTGCAATAATCTTTGTTAGAAGCAACTACTTGAAGGAAGGTCAGTACTACACCAATACTATGTAGGTCACAATGGGTTCTTGTTACAAACTAATTATGCTTTATAGCCTATTCCTCACTTATTTTGTACTTCCAATTAGTGCCTGTGAAACTTTTCCTTTTGGATACCACTTTGCCACTATTACTGCCCCACCCACCCACCATCATGTTTATCAACCTTGAAATTTGATCAAATGCCATGAAGTATGAAAAGGAAAGGGCAATTGACAAACCAACATGAAGTTTTTACTGGGTAAACCTACCGATTCCTATGAGGTTAAATGAGCTTTGTTCTTTTGAAATTAATGGGGAACACATCTTGTTAACATGCAAATCCGATCCCTATAAAATAAGTTCACTAGATGGAGATATGAGAAAAACAAGAGCAGACGGTAGATGTTATTATGGTTAGATTTTTTAAGAGAAATTTTCCGGATCACAAAAAGCACTCTCTAAATCAAGCTTCAAAAAAACACTTGCAGTACACATAAGAAAATCATTAACTTCCTCAAGTGAAAATGAGACTAATCTGCTGAATGTAAGACACCTCTGCATAAATATTCCCCATTGACATTTCTCCCTTTCACACAACCCTATAAACGAAAAAACAAAATCAACAATATCTACAAGCTAACCCCCCCCCCCCCCTCCCCCCCAAAAAAAAACCCAAATGGTAGAGTTCTACCAGGAATTCTCTTGCCCTCCTATGATCACCATAGTGGTAAAGGTCCTATGACAAAGGAAAATTCACCGGATCTGACTTCATAATATCTCCCATAAGTTCCTAGGAGAAACTGCTTCACTCTAGCGTAGGATGGTAGCTCCTATAAAATCCTTCCTGTATATTGCTAACACTTAAGAATAGGAGGTAGCTCACACAAGGTTTAGCTAAATAGCTGAAATGGGAGTGTCATTAGGTGGCACATCATGTAGGAGAGTAATGACACCATTTGGGATGGTGATCCAGGCCAATGTCACAAGAGGCTTGGTTTAGTCGGTTTACTATCGGCGTGCCTACTGGATGACATTGAATGTTACATGCAGGTTTGGCTTTTCTGTCAACAGGATGTTGAGCAGCAACAGCCTGGAGGACTTTGGAACCATTGCCAGTTACGGAGATCCATGGGAGAGCAAGGCTATAGAATTTATCACATGTTAGCCGAAGTCCAGAGGTTATGCACTATTATAGTGGTCGTGGATAGATTTTCGATGTATACCCATCTTCATGCACGCCTCACTAAGCTCTGCATTGCCGAGGAAGTCCCAAAGTAATGAGCCAAATGGAAAAATCAATATAACCTTTACTATTACTAGAATTTATGATTATTTTGTTTTAGTAAACAGCTTGTTAGACATGTGTCAACAAATCAATCAATCAACCTTTCAAACCTTACCTATTTAAGCTCAGCTATGGGAATCTTCTACATCTATTTCTTCTCTATTCCGGCAAATTTCGTTACAAAACTGGAAATACTTGTAGATGTGCTTTTTAAGAAAAAAAAAAGGATAAAAGTATTAAACATACGTATTCACAGAGGAGCTGAAGCTCGTCCTCCGCCAGATGCTGTCCCTCTTTAACCTTCGTTATCCACTGGTCCAAATCCATCGCCCTTCTTCTAAATCTAGTGTTCCTTCTTCGTTGCAATTAAACCTACCAGTTGTATAGAAATGTACGGATTTATCTGAAGCGTAATGTAGAAGAGCCGATTGATTCAGCTGCCGTTTCCGATGAATTGATGCCGGAAAGTTGCTCGATCGGATACTGCCCAAAACCCCAATCGGAGAAAACAGAGTTTCCGATCCCTTCGGATGGAGTGAATTTTGAAACCCTGGCGAAGTGAGACTTTACGTACAGTGGTATTTTGGCCAGAAATTGATTGGACTATTTTACCCTTTCATCCCTAGCCCACATTTTTGGCAACCCCACGAGTTCTATTTAGTTGGTTTTATTTGTGGCTAAAATATAAAGAGCCTATTATTTTCCTCTGTGGGGTAACGATTAATGTAGAGATGTGCATTTGAAAATTTTCATTTTAGGGTAAAGTATTGTAATTAAAGTTGGTGTCAAGACTTCTTATATTTAATTTCTACATTTCGAATCATAATTTTATTTATTTATTAATTTCGAAATGTATGTTGTTAAAGTTGGAATTGAGATAATTTATATATATTATATAAAAAGAAATTAGTATAAATATAGTTAATCAGTATTTTTGAAATATATTAAATTTATAGCGTTAAAGTTGGCTTCGGACCTGCTTCCCAATCAAATGCACTTAATTTTCAGATTTTGAATTTAGAAATTTAATTAAGGTGGGATGGTTGTCATCTCACCACAACCTTTAGTGGCAATAAAAAACATATACTCATTCTATTATACTGCTAAATTTAAATCTCCAATTTATCTCCAACAATATTTTTTTGAAAAATATACTTCTAAGTAATACTTATGGTAACTTAGTAGTAATTTTTTTAGCAGTTATAATTTATAAGTATCAACAATTGTCTTTAACCACAATTATCATTTTTTTTCCATCATCATCACTAACCACTGTTACTAGCCACCATTTATAAACATCTTTATTAGTTATTATCACTATAACAACCACAAAATATAGCAATAATTAATCACCACTATTAACTATTTAATTATTATTTACAAGTATTAGACATCGTTAATTGTTATTATCAACCACCGTGATAAACTTTCAACTATGATGTCACATATCATATTGCTGCGGTATTGATGAAGAGGAGATATAAAAGTGTCTTAGTGAGGAGTTTTGAGAGGTTGTATACTGTGAATACGAGGAGATAAAAAAAATATACGGAAATATGATTAGATATGACATAATGCAACTTCAGTTTATTGAAGATACAACATTAGATACAAGGGTGTAGAAATTGCAAATTAAGGTGGAAGGTTAGTAGGTAGCGAAACATTGTTTTGTTTTTCGACAGATTTAGGCTTTGCGGTGTATGTCATAATATTAACTTTATTCTTGTAGTTTCTTGCTTTCGACATCTATCATTTGTTTATTGTGTTTTAGTTGTTGCACTATTTTATTGTTGTTAGTTCATTGCTTGACCATCATGCCTATCCTCTGTCATCTTCAACCCCCCTACCTTATTCCCCTGTCGTGATATTTTATTATAGTATGTAAATACTTTTAAGATACTATTATTTTTATTACTTATCAAACACTAAACACTAAAGAATACGTAAAAACATATTTTCCTCGATAACAAATACACCCATAATGTAAAAATATATCGAAAGTAAATTTTGGTGCCCACTTTCAATTTGTCAAAATTTAAGAGGTCTCATACAATTAACATCGGTGGTGTGAGACATATTATAAAGTTTCTCAACCCGGCAATTGAGCCGCATCGAGAAAGAGGATAAATTCACAGGGAAGGAAAGAAGAAAAAGACCCGAATGCGAAAAAAAGCCCTAAATCGAAGCACACAATCTTCAGCTAATAATCTCTCCAATTTCCAATAAACCCTAAATTGAAGCCATGGCAGGAAGAGAAGTTCGAGAATACACCAATCTCACCGATCCTAAAGGTATTTTCGCATACACATATGTAACTGCTAGCTAGTTTTTTGCTATTCATTTGCTTTTTTAGGTTTAACCTGTAAATGCAAACAAATTTTTGGCAGATAAGAAATTCGGTAAAGGGAAGGACAAGATAGATGACGAGGAGGTCACTTTCCAACGCATGGTTTCCAAGGTTAGCGAATCCCGTTTCTCCAACTTTATGTGGTTGTTAAATTTATTAGAAGTGAGTGAATTTTGCTTCTGATTTGAATTTTATCTGCTTTTAGCAAAATTGAGTCCATTACAGCTCTTGAAAGTTGATGTTGAATCGTGTGAACCGCCTCGTTTAACAGCTTTAGCTATTAATCTTATTGAACTGAACTTAATTTCGAAATTTAAGTTGGTAGGGAGGAGACATGTTACTTATTTATTTATTTTAACTCCGCAACAGTTTATAATTTGAGCATGGCATATGCTTCAGTTTTCTTCATAGCATATTGTCACGTCCCGCCACTTCGCAGTAGAATTTTACGTCCGGATAGGGGCGGAAGGGTCTAGAGTTGTGGAGAGGTTTCCGGAAGACTCCAGAACCTTTTAGATTATTCAAGAAGGCTAGAGAATTCCTTAGAATTCTCTAGAATAGTTTAGATAGTTTCAAGAAAGCCTTAGAATTCTCTAGAGGTGTAGAGAATTCTAGAGAGGGGCTTTTGTGTAAATATCTTAGGGACTTGTAAGTAATTTTTATTTGCACTTTAGTCCTTAGGATTTAGTATAAATAGAGGGTGCCATTCATTTGCAAGGCATCCATCCAACCATCCAAGTTGTAAGCAATCTTCCAAAGCAATACAAAAGCCTTCTTCCAAAACTCTCTTTGTTCTTTCTAAGTCTTTCCTTAAGCATTCTCTTAGCGATCTAGTCTTAAAAGGCTTACTTGAGCTTACAAGATCGTGAAAGATTCGTGAGTAAGTTGTCAAGTGCCGCACGGAGCTTTAGTAAGACTCTAAGTCCGTGACAACGTGGTATCAGAGCGAGGTTCGATACTAAGGGAATGGCAACAGAAGGAGACATAAACGCCGCTAGCACCACCAACGTCCGTCCGGATGGTGGAAAGAAGGCCCGAAAGGGTAAGAAGCATCAAAAGGGTAGTGAG